ATATATTCAATTACTTTTTAAACTAATTGTTATCCCTTAAACGCTCTAAAGTTAAATATTTCAAGTACAGGGTATATACATATACACATATACATAGATAGAACGAGAAGAAGAAAGAGAGGTGGAAAGACAAGCTTGTCTTGACTTGTCAAATCGTGCGCATAAAACTTTGGCCATGAAAAGTTTTGTAGCCTTCCATCCTCGAGCCCGATGCGCGTTGCAGTCGAGTCAGACTCAAACTGAGAGTCGGACTCAGACAGGTTGACTGATATATATCTGGGATTGGGTAACAACAATGTTGGGTGTCATCTAGTGCATGCGGAATGCACATGATGTGGCCTCATTCGCATGCTACGTGATCTGCTGAGTTTCTATCGGGACTTGTCAAAATGCCTTCCAAACTGATTCCGTTGCGCGTTTGTTCTCCACATTTTCCAGGCACTTTTCCCCTTTCGGCTACGACTTGTGCCGCCGCGTCTCGAGACAAATTGAATTGGTGCATTTTTTGTGCGGTGCATACAAATTGCGAGCCAACTGGCGCTGGCGTTGACTTGCTCGTTGAGGTTTCGTTGGCTACTCTCACCTCGGATCTATGCACTTTGCCAAGGAGTTAAATTATGAGTGTGACTATAACTATAAGTCTAATGAGTTGTATAATCTAATAGCACTAAGTTGACATCTTCAAGATTGCTGTAAATTATTTGATATATATTATAGAATATATTATTTTAGGGTATTTCATGGTCGACTCCCTGGCCAGTTTTGTGTTCCCTTCACGTCTTCTGTGCCCGCTGAAAATCACGCTAATTGTCGCACAGCAAATGTCGTTGCATACATTTTGGTCGTCGAGCCCGTTGCACAGTGGTCCCGTCGGGCTTGATGCCCGGCTACATTAACATAAATTTGAATAAGAAATCGTTGGATGCTACCGCTGCATTTATCTAGTTGCAGAGCAGTGGTTAAATCCTAATACCATTTAAAGCTAGCTCTTAAACAATCTCACTAAAAATATCTTAATAAATATTTTGAAATTTCAAAGTAATAAAAACTTTAAAAATAGCATAAAAAGCGTATGAATATTTCTTTGCCATGTCTGAACTTTTTCTCTTTTGTGTGTCCACCTTCGGTCGGCTCAAAGCCTTGTCATGTTTTTTGACATGCAAATGCAAGTTGTGGCATCTGGCGCATCCGTACTTGCAGTTGGCATCTCGTTTTAAGTCCTTTGTGTGTGTGTGTGAGTGTGCTGGGGTGTGTGGTACATATTATAATGGCAAGCCCCTCTACATAAACAAAAGTCAACGCTTTCAGCTATTAGGAAAACAATAACAAACACTCCGCCAGCAGCGCCAACATCAACAAAGCATTCCAGTGCCACCTGCTGCCAGCCAGCGCCCATACGCTAACCTCCCTCTCACTCTATCTCCATCTCTTTCTCACTCTCTCACTCTCTTTGTTACCCAAACAAAGATAAAGAGCGACGGTCAGCCACAAGCCGAACAATGATGACGATGCCGATGATGATACCCAGGTCCAGGTCCAGGTCCCCCGACCTATGCATAATTTATAGGCAAGTGCAGTACCGCAATATGTAGGGGGTACTCAAGAGCTGCTGATGCCGATGCTCTTGCTCTTGCTCTTGCTGT